AAAGCGCTTTGAGGGTCTTGGAAAGCGCTTTATAAATGCAATCATCATAATTATTAATATGGTTTCATGTGGTGATGGACACAAACGCTCACAGCGTGTCCTCGTCCTCGTCCTCGTCTGTCTCTCTCACGTGTTTTAAATCAGGCTGCAGAAAATTCGGTTGATCGCCGACGTCGGCACCTGTAACACCTGAAACTCTGACACGCAGCGTGTGTGCAGCAATGTATTGTGGGCCATTGACCGCACACACCGAGCTGATTCTGGCTCCTCTGCCCCAAACACGTTCAAAGACAGGAAGTGTTTAGCGTCCTGTCTGACACAACGACCCTGACCGCAGGAAGTGGCGTCCTGCCTGCTCGCACTCAGCGGTTCCCCCTCAGACATGCCCCTGCAGCAGGACGGCGAGGGACGCCAACCTGTGAGCTTATTTCAGTTTGATCCTCTAACAGCTGATAACAGGAAGTGGAGCTTTTTCACAATAAAGCATCACTGCCCTGACTCAGATTCAATCTGCTGTTTCCAAACCTGAGACGCGTTCACCAAACTCGTCGCGCAGACGCAAAACATCATTTTGCAGAGAAACTGAAACTGAGCTGTGATTAAGACGTGTGAAGGTCTTCATGTCCTCAGCAGCTCTGATGTCTTTACTCGTGTGAACAAACGACTCGTCTGAGGAAAACGGAGCTCACAGCTCAAACTGTGAAGAGCTGCAAGAACTCAAACTCGTCTCATTTCCAGTCAGAATTATCTCACTACACTTAAAATAAGACTGAACCAGCTACAGCATCATCCAGTAAGATAAAGGAACGTGTTATTGAAATTCTTAGTTAGCGTATTGTCTTGTTAATGTTGGTTTATAATGGAGCACTGTAACAAAAAAATAATTTCCCCCAGGGATCAATAAAGTATTCTGATTTTGATTCTGACTGATTCAAGACAGTGAATCTTAAAACTAGAGACTTTTCACTTGTTTCATTGGCAGATTTTTTACCTTGAAACAAGTGAAAATTCTCCAGTTTTCTCTGGTTTCTGCAGAGTAACGCGAGCGCTTACATAACGCAGGAAGCTACAGACACACGTCTGTTCTTTGGCCTTTATTACAGACACAGAACATAATAAAGACGCCGCTCGGTGATGGCTTCAGTGTTACTGAGCAGAAGCTCCACAGCATGAAACGACGCTTCATGTCCCATCAAAGCTTTACTCATCAGGACACGTTCAGCTGGATTTTGTTTCTAAAATTACAAAATGACACCAAATAAAGTTTTTTACTCAAGATTTTAATTCTGCTTGTTTTTATTTTAATGATTTTTCTGGATTTTTCTTAATTACAATTTTAAAACATTTGATGTCTTATTGCAGATTTTTAAATTGTTACAATGTTTAAGTGATTTGATATTTTTATGACATTTTTGAATCTTTTTTTATTTTCTAATCTGTGAAAAAGCAGAAATGCAAAAAGTCTGCAGCAGAAAACAGCACACACACACACACACACAC